AGCGGCGAGGAACAAGTGGTGGTGAGGAGCCGGGACTGGGGAGACGGTGGCGCGATGGCGCCAGGTGTGAGCCCGAAGGAAACAGCACTACTGCGTGCTTCTCAGACTCGAGTACGGCAGCGTTTTACTTATTCGTCAATGGCGAGGCACTGAAGGTTGCGGATGCGGATGCCGCGGCGCTGGCGAAGAAGGACAGCGAGGAGATCGCGCATTTCTACTTTGGGGCGGACGACGGCATGCGTGGCGCTGGCGGCAGCGTGACCGTGACGAATGTCTTCCGGATGAGCCGCCCAGAGCGGAGCATTGGATCCGACACACCCAACCACGGTGCCGGGTCAGGCGCCAATAAGCTGGACAGCTCCGTACGTGCGCATGGGTCTCGCGTGCTCTTGCTGCTTCTGGGGCTGTGGGGCCTTGCGGCTTTTTTACTAAGCCAAATAAAGCGCTGCCCAGGCTTCTAGTGGGAAGGTGAGCGGCCAGTTCACGCACGCGAAAATAATATGTGCTTTCTTCGTTGGGGTTTTGATGCATTCATGTATTGTTTCCATTTCTTTTCTTTCTGTGTGTGGCATATGCGCGGGCTGTCGTCTCGTTCATGGTGCACCTCCGCTGCAGCCGTTTTGTTCATCAGGTACTGCAGGAGCGAGCTCTTGCGTGTGGTATTCCTCTGCCTCTGGGCTTCGAAAATGGGGAGTGAGACAGTCGTGGCTGTGAGGACGGGCCGTTGGGCGTAGGTGTGTTGCAAAGAACTGGGAGTATGTTTGCACTGTGTGTGTTTTTAGTGTAAATGGAATTCATTGTTTTTTTTGTTTCTCGTGGATTTTCGTTGCCGTTTCGTGGCGTGTGCTGCGCTTCGAATGAAACGGCGCAGAGCGGAGGTCCTGTTGTTGTACACTTCCTTCTTTTTGTGTGGGGCCAACTCAGTTTTTTTCTCCCGTTTCTTCTTTGGCCGGGGAGGGCGGCGGCCCACACGGCGATGCGGTGTGGAACCACTAGAGCAGGACGCAAGCCTTTGCATCCCAGTCCACGGCCTTTATTATTACTATTATTATTGTTTTTGTTTGTTTTGCTTTGCCCTTCCCTTTGGGCGGTTTTGTTGCCGCCACCCCACGCCCTGCGTGCGTGTCCTGCCGAAGCAAAGCCGCCCCGCCGCGAAACTGTTGCATCCCGCTTAAAGCATAGTAGCGAAACAGCGCGGCGACGAAAAGTTGCGTGTGCTGAGAGCGGGCCTCTGCGCCCTTTTTTTTATTTCTCGTTCCGACCGCGGCGGGGGCCTTTCTGATTGCCACCGCTCGCCTCCCTCCCCTGCCTCTTGCCTTTCCACAGTCCTTCCTGCGTGCGTCTTCCCACCCCCCACCCAGTTGCCGAGGGCAGGCGTGCGGCGTCTTGCCTGGGGCCTTTTCCCGCCGCTGCGGGGCGGTGGCGGTGGGGAGTGCGCCCACCAGCGCCGGGGGTTGGCGTGGAGCGGCGGAGGCGCATGGGCGTTGCGGGGCGCCAAGACGTCGTACTCGCACGAGTCCCAGCGCGGGGCGGCGCACAAAACCGTTACGTGCCGCAGCAGCAGCGGCGGGGCACGTGGCGGCAACCCACGCCCCACGCCACGGGCCCGCTTGCTTCTTCAGGTGGCGTTGGAACCGTTGAGCCAACAAGCTCCCGGCCACGGCTTCATGTCTTGGCGACCAAGACGCGTAGCTCCCTGGAGGAGGCCGCGGAGGGGTTTTTGCATTCTGAGCGTCGTCGTCTGTTCGCCGTATACCCCCCCTCCACGTCCCGCGATGCCTCGTTGGTACCCTCCCCCTACGATTACGTTTGCGTCCTTCAGAGGCTGAGTGCCTGTGGTACGGGGGTGCCTTCCAAGCATGTGTACTCGTTGCTGGTGGAGTTGCTTAGGAAGCCGCTGCCCCCCTCGCAGGCCGGCCTGGGGTGGGATCTCCCGGATGAGGCGGTAGTGGATTTGCAGGCGCGAGCACTGGAGGCGGTGATGCCCTGCCTCGAGGGCCGCGACGCCTTGGCGTTTGCGCAGAAGGGCCTCATGCCACTCCTCTCGCCTACTGCCCTCGCGGGCGGCAGCCACTCTAGTGAGTTGGTGTTTATTCAGGCACTTCGTCGGCGGCTGCAGGGTGGCGGCGTCGCCTCCGCAGGGCTGGAGGCGAGCGGCGGAAGCATCGAGAGTGGATTGCTGGTGACGGCCCCTGTGGTGTCGGCTGCGGCGGCAGCTTTGATTCGGGTGCGACACAACTGCCGCAAAACAACAGGCGATTGAGCTCTTGCAGCTCGCGTCTATTGCCCGGCTGCGCGGCCGGAAAGTATTTGATGAGAACGTTCCCGAGAGATGTGCCGAGTCTGCCGCCCTCATTGGCGACGCGGAGACGGTCGCGCGGATCGTATTTTTTTTGCGCCACGCTTTCGCGGTGTGCTGGGCGCGGCGGTGGGGCCGACAGAGCGCGCCGGTGAAGCCGCAAACGGCGGTGAGAGTGACCGTGGTGGCAGCGCGGGAGGTCGTGGCTCGCTGCTGAGCCGTGTTGCTTTGGGTTGGGGCCGTCGGGCCTCCGCGGAGGAGCGCGGCGAAGGCGACGTGGAGATGTTGCGTTTCGCCGAGCGACCGTCCGCCTCCTTAAAAGCGTTCTTCACGCGGTGCTGCATCGCCGACACGCCGCCGTCGACGCTCGTGGCTGCCGTGTGCAAGAAGCTGTGCGGCTTTTTGGCTCGCTGCGCCTGGCGTGCGCGTGGGACGGCGCGGCCGCAATGGCGGTGGAGCTCCTCACGCACGTGGGTGCGGAGGCACGGAGGCGCCTCAGCCGCGAGCCGCAGGATGGGGGCGTGGAGCCGTTCTTTTGCCTTCACCGCGACGCGCTGCGTGTCGTCGCCATGCTGCGGGGCGCACTGCCGCCTCAGCCCGCCGCGTACCAGCACTCGGCGTACGCAGCGTGAGCCGCCCTGGCAATGAACTGCTACTTCGTTGCGGCGCCCATCCGCACGGAGAGGGGGACGACAGTTCCAGTGCTGGCGCTGCCTTTGCTCGATTCACGAGACAAGCGGCTGGGCTACCTTTTCTCCGCCGTAGCCGCGACGTTGGACCTCTTTGACTCCATGACGCCTGAATGCCAGGTACAACACCTGCAACTGGCCGTGGCCGTTTCTGCCGCCGCAGTGACCGCCAGCGGCGGCCGGTTAGACGAGAGGTGTCGTCCAGGCCGCGTCATCTCTCGCCTGAAGGAACTCTTTTCCCGCGCCGGGTTGCTGACGACGCACCCAACGGGCATGATGCGTCGTTTCTCGTCGCTTGGGGACGAAGGCGTAGGGTGCGGTGCTCTCTGGCTTTACATGGTGGTTCTGGCGACTGGCCT